TGAATAAATAAATACGCGTTAAGCAAATAATATTGCATATTTGATGGATGCTTGCGGCAGAGGCCAACGAACCCACTCGAATCAGTTAGTTCAAGGGACGCCAGGAAGAAACAAAAACCACGGATAAATAAGCGAACTTTGAACTTGTGTTGATGGGTCGGGGCAACCCGGCCGTTGCCCCGGGGCTATCCGCCAGCCCCTGGGAACCCACTTAAACTCATAATCGCTTTTGTTTATTTACACACGCATACATTCGGGCGGCCACAGATTGCAACTTTCAACTACTTTGGCCGACGGCGAAGGGTGCTTGAAATATTGAAATAAAATTCTATCAAGTGTGCAGTCCTTGGAGCGGGTGCTAAAAATATTTGCATAGATAATGGCGGGCACGAAACTGTTTGCGCACTTCTTCCGTTTGGCTGGGTAATTAATTTTTGGGGAACTTAAAGCAAAGTACTGGGAACTCCTGAAATCGCTTTAACAGACGTAACGCCAAACTAGCACTGTGGGATTGTAAACTATTTTCATAACCCTTCCTAAGTTGATAACACAAGTCATAGGAAATCAGTTAAATCAGCTCTTCTCTCTCGGAAGATCCGGTCGGCCCACTGTCCTCTCGCACTTTTTCCCACTTAAATCCGTGTCCTGGTTTCCTGAGTGACAGGAGCGCACGGAGCGAGTGAAAGGTTTGTCCTGCCTCCCTTGTCACTCAGCTTTTCTGGCTGGAATTACACACGCTTCAGCCAGCAGCGCGACACTTCTGAATGTACGGAAGCTTAAGGCCCTCGAAGCCATGATATCCCGATATCCTGATCCTGGCACTCGGCTTAGCTGTAAGTGAGTGGGTGAGCGTCCTGGATATAATTGCATAATGCGGAGCTGGGGACGCGTTGCCGCCATCTTAATATGCTCCATTGTTTGCGAGCTTGCACATTTAAATTCAATCAATACATCACGTATACGCCGGGTGTGCTGTGCCCACTCCCATTCCCTCTCCCATTCCCATTCTCAGTTCCGCTCCATGACCCTCAGCCGTCTCCTGGGCTGTCGGAGTCACCGCCACAATGCGGCTTGTGTCACTTGTGCTGTCCTCGTGGTTGTTGCCTTGTTGTTTGCCTTAATTTGCGGTTATCTCGACTGGCGCCCCTGCACCAGCCAAATCCAAATCCAAAGCAATCCAATCTGATTGGAGTCAAGCCACAGCTCCTGCCGCCGCCACTGGGGGGAATGTGAATGTGCCCCATTCTCCGTTCTTGTGCCACATATTTTGACATTAGCGCAGCTGCAACTGACAACTATTATTAACATGGGAGCGGAACGCTGTGCATTTGGCATTTAATTGTAATTGCTGTCAGTGGGTTCGGTGAATTCCGGACGATAGCCGGGTGACTGGTAATTGGCATGGAGGCGCTGCCTGGGAATTTTAGTGCGGATTTAAATTTATAATTATTCGGTCTTTGTTTTGGGCTCAGTTGGAATTTGGTTTCGGTATTCGTTCGGTTTGGTCGCTGTGCTTCGTAATGTAATTTCCCGGAATAGTTTAGTCCAAGGAAATGGTTTTGTGTGCAGAACGTTATGAATGCCAAACAAATGTACGAATGTAAATTAAAGCCTACGGAGCAGAAATCCTTCGTTCACTTGCTGACCGGAACACAATTTGTTTACGAGAACAATTTATGCCACGAACAGTTTACAAAAGTACTGTGGTGAATTTTCGGAAAATTACTTCTCGTGAATTTAACAGTGATGTTGTGTGGAAATTTAGCGGCGAAGTTGGGGCACGAAAAGGCCTTCTAAATCGTTTGGGTGAAACCAATTTTCCGGGGGGGTTGCCTTATTTTGGCTTTCCCTGTGCTGTGCACGTAATTCCATCAGTTTGAGCACCAGAGGACAAATAACATGACTAGCTGTTTCGTATCGAGTTATTAATTACTCGGCGTTGGCAAAACAAAATCAATTTCGTCAATTCAAGTATAGCCAAGGCAATAATTCTCATTTTGGCCTGGGCAATCTGAGCATCGTCTGCATGAATTGACAAAGGGATCGAGGCGAGCACATCAAGCCAAATCACACGCTCTGTCAATCAATCAATGCGTCGGCCAATCCATCACCCGATGGCAGATGGAGGGCGGGGGTCAAACAGATGGCAGATACAAGAACTACCGAGCGGCAGTTCGACCCCGGAAAACACATTCTGTTCCTGCCGGAATCGCACTAGGGCTCAGTCATTACAATTATGGCTAGTCAATTATTAACCTGGCCGGGAAATGACGCACTGCCACCGCCACCGCCATCGCCACCGCTATCGGAGAAGCAGAACCCTCCGGCGTGATTAGTCCTAGCCCCGTCGAGTACACTGAGGGAAAACTTAAGGATCCTCAGAAGAACCTTGTCTTGTAAGGCAGTACCTGTGCCTCTGAGTTGCTTCTAGTTCACCATCTCTAGGGCTTTCCTATCAGAGGGATAGGTTCCGACAGCTAATGGCGTCTGCGCTGGCATAATTACAATTTTAGTCAGTTTCCGTTTTCGGGTGTTTATTTTTTATTTGGCTGTAGAGGCACTAAAATGGTTTTATTGATTTGTGTTGTCACGCAACTTCCTCTAATGGCTCCTGCCTCTCCCTCGCTCCTCCGCCACAGGTCCAGTCCAAATTAGTTTTCCCCCAACAGAAACTGCCAGCCAGAAGATTCATCCATAATTAAAAAAGCCTGCCAAAGTCAGTTCTCAATATGTGATGTCTTGAGGATTTTCAATTAGTTGTCGTCACCCAGCGGGAAGCCGAATGAAGTCGAATAAAGTGGGTGGTGGCTTCCGTAGGCTCGCTGCTTAGTCAGCAACATCAACGACATAATGAAGTTGAAATGAGTTTAAACCGGCAGCCCCAGAGGGTTCAGTCTTCGTTCTGCCATGAGTCACATGTGCGCCAGACTTTCACCAAAGACGCTTAGTGTAAACCCGCCCTGGTAATTTGCATTTGCGGCAGCAGAACTCCTCGGCTTTGGAGGGCAATTTCCCACTTCCCCTAACTTATTGGATTTGCAGGCTAATAAGGTATGCACTTACTAATTAAGTGCGCGCCTCGTAAATAACTTATGACCGCAAACTGAGGAAAACGCCTCCAGCTATCCAGCCAAATATAGCAGAAGGAAACGAATGGTTTCACACATCACAGCTTTAATAAGTTACCGAAAGAAAGATCAATCAACGAGATAGCTACTGGCATGTGCAACTAATGAAGTGGATTAAAGGTTACGCATAGATACAACCTACTCCTATGAACTTCCTTTCAATAATACTTCTGTTGGGTGGCAAAGGGTCGTGGGCCACTTATTTTCCGCTGACATCCTCGGACGGAGGGTGTTTTCGTGGCTTTGGCACCTCATGTGTCCATTTAGAGCCCGCTCTTCTTTTTCTTCTTCAGCTCCCCTGCACGCGATGCACACCATCTATATTTATTGTTTTAGTGCAGCAGTCGGGCTTGTTGTTAGCAAACAGCTCCAACACGGTGGAGCCATCAACAATGCTCCGCCTACTTGTGCTGTGTGACGCCTGGCCTTTTTATGCCCTTTTATTGAATACAGTTGTTCGGCCAAGACCACGCCCACTCTCCTTTTCCTCCCCTTTTCAAAAGGCTGCACACAAGTGGTCATTTTCAAAACAAGAGGAGTTCACAAAGTGAAATTTTTGTGCCTCGCGGTTGAGCGTTAATGGTGGCTCGGTATTTGCCTTGAATTATTTATTTGCTCGTGCATTTGCGGTTGCTGAACTGCAAGCAAACACCAAAATTCCATTATAGTAAACACACTTTAATAGTTTAATGCCAGTTGCCCAAAAGACACTCGATTGAAGGGGAGATGCCGCCAAATAGGCTAAAGTTTTGCACGGTATGGCGAAATTCCGATTTTTGACGAACATAATAATGCCCATTTGACTAACAGCAAATGGACGGCTCAGATTCGAGGGCCAAAACTTTACCCTAACGACATCTGCTCTTGTTGCAAGTTTTGCGAAGTTATCCCGTAGCAACAAGAATCAGGCAGAACGGAGTGAGGAGACAGTCACCGACACATGTCAAAGTTTCGCAATTTCAAAGATTCTTCATTCGCAATTTTTTGTCCGCTACGAAGATGGTTTTCAGCACCCACGGAGCCGCGCAGTGCGCCACTTAAGATGTTGCCGCTGCGAGGCAAGTGCAACATTGCAGCTGACCGCTCTTGTGCTTCGTATTAATCCACTAATAACTTCCCTTAGCTTGCGGCAGCCACTTCATTTTAAAGCAATTTCGTGGCCGACCCCCACACGACCCATGTTTCACATTGTTGCTCTGGCCTCCGGGCTGTTCCTCCTCCGGCGGGGGAAGTGGAGGGCAGGGCCATTTTTCCCATCAAGCTCTGACCGTGTGACATCATCGGCGAACGTCACGTGTCGGCTACGGTCGTCCCGCAGATGGACTGGAATCTTGATGACCTGGAGTTTTGCATGACGCTGCAACCCACCGATTGAAATGGCGATGACAGAAATTACAGAGAATGGCGAATTCATGTTGCATACTTTCTGGAGTGAGCGTGGGATAGGAGGTCTTAGAGATTGGCAGAACTAGAGGTCGTTAAAATTACGTCAGCATTTCAATTTTGTAACAAGTTTTGTTGGTCACTGGGAGTAAGGCAACCGAATAAGTATTAATGCTTCAAGGCATTTGTGTTAGACTTGAAGCAAAAATTTCCTAATTAAACAACTTGGACGAATATTTGAAATTCCAAGTGTGAAAAAGTTCAGCACTCAGCTTTATGCCAAGGAACCGTTTACAGAACTGAACTGCGCCAAATTAGCCTAATTTATGCAAAGCGAACTCTTTAAGTCAAGCTAAAGTGCAGCCGGAACTGCAGAAGCTGCAGCAGCTGGCCCAACAATTAGCTTGGATTATGCAGCAGCGTGAAGCTCTTGATATTTGCATTTAGCGAGCATGACTATGGAAAATACATTTCCCCTTTTTCCTGCAGGAGAATGGAAGATCAGTTCCTGATGTCACCGCAAGCCCGGGTCGGGCCCCGCCCGGACCGCTGCCCGCCAACCAGCTGTCTTCGATGGGCAACCAGCAACACCATGGCAACCAGCAACACCATGGAAACCAGCAGCAACATCATGGCAATCAGCACGGCAACCATCGAGGTCAGAGCGGAAGTTTGTCGAACGCCGCCGGGGTCAAGGACCCGGTGATGCTCCAGGGCGATTTCCGGAAAGTCAGCGGCATCAGCTCAGAGATCTTTCGGCAGATAGAGGCCGTCGAGAATGACCACGACCCCAACACGGCGGCGGCCTTGGAGGCGGTGGAGCGACGCGGTGAGATGATCGTGCGCGTCCTGGAGCCGCGTTGCATGGGCAGCAAGCAGGCGGTGGACGCCGCCCACAAGCTGATGAACAAGGCGGACGCACGGCACACCGTGCAGCTGGTGGAAATAGTCAAGCGGCCGGGTCAGACGCTGGGCTTGTACATCCGCGAGGGAAACGGGGCCGATCGCACCGATGGCGTGTTCATCTCCCGGATTGCACTGGAGTCGGCTGTCTACAACAGCGGCTGCTTGCGGGTGGGTTAATGCGAAAACACATATTCGGGACATCAAAATAACGCCGTATACTTTCAGGTGGGCGATGAAATCCTTGCGGTAAATCTGGTGGACGTGACACACATGTCCCTAGACGATGTCGTCATTATTATGTCAATTCCGCGCCGCTTGGTGCTGGCGATACGTCAGCGGCGAGGCAATAGAGGCACAGGATCTCCTGGACCGCCGACGCTCTCTCGGCCAGAACAGAAGCCCCCACCGGTTGTTGTTATTAAGCGAGACTTGCGGGACGAGGATCTGGACGAGACGGACCGAATGCCGAGGCCGCGCTCATCACGTGACAGACGTACAGGTAGTTTGAAATGGGCGCCATGTTCACCCATCTAATCGCTTGCTTCTCTTCTATTTCTTTCAGGAGATGGTCGCGAAATGACGGAATCTCGTTCTCGGCTAGGCCTGGGTCTCAATAATTACAGTCCGCAGTCCGAGCAGTTGGATATGTACTACAATACCCGCGGCGGAGGTGGAGCCATGGGCGAGCCGCCCAACTGGGGCTATAAACCACCACCGCCACCGTCTTCGGTGATTACGGAGCAGCCCACAAAAGCACATGCTTTTGCGCCTTCGCATGCTTACTACCAAAATGCCGGCACTCTTGAAAGCTTGGCGGAGAAGGTACATGCATTCTATCCTGGACAGCCTGGTGCTCCGCCCGTGGGTCCCTCGCGAAGAATGTCCACGGGCACTGGGAACGTGGGCCTCGCTCAACAACATGCCAGATTTCCGCGATCTGGCTCAGATCAGCATTTACCTCGCGTAGAATATTCGGATTATTCCAATTCCCTGGGACGCCATTCCCTTCTACGATCAAGTTTAAAACCTGGAACGGCCGGTGGAGCTCCAATGCAGGTAGGAGTGGGAGGCACTCTTGGCCGATACGGGCGCTATGACCAACAGAGAGCCGGTGTATCCAAGTACGGCCCTCCATCTGGAGGAGCTCAATCGCTGACCCGGCGTTCCAGACCAAATTTGGACTATTCCAGCGATACGGAAGCCACAATTGGGCCCAGGCCAAGTTACTACTACTATAACAGACCTGCCATCGGCAGTATGTCAAGGGGATCAGGTGGAGCAGGCGGAGGAGTTGGCGCAGCTTCAACGGCTGCCTTGCTGGCCGGAGCTGCGGATCTCAATAAATTTAACTCATTGCCCCGAGAGCGCCCTGGGACGAGATTGCAGGGCATCCGCTCCAGAATGGGAGATCGCTTGGTGGACGAGAATGACGGAAATACCTCGGCACCCGAGTTCGATGCACGGAGGGGAAGGGATTTACGTCAGCGAATTACCGCCAGTCCGTCGATATTTACGGCGGATGAATACCGCGCCTGGCTCAGGAGGGCACCTAGCAGTTCTGCCATTGCGGAACAAATGCGAATGACGCGGGACATGTTTGCCCAGCCACGGGCTCAGCGATTTTCATGTAGCGCTGAGAACATCCACGATGCACTGAGAAATGTGAGTATATCTAATGCCGATGAAAGCCTAACTATTGGATAACGTCGTTTTAATTTCGTTTAGACGGAAAGCATCTACTCCAGTAGAACCCATATCCTTGGCACGGGCACTCTCGATCGGAACATGGGTCTTACACGACCAATTTCTGCACTACCCGTGCGCTCCATGTCCTCGCAGCACATTGGAGGAGCGGGCTCCATTCGATCGCCTAGCATACGACGCATGCGACAGTTACTGGAGCTTTCCGCAGGTCCCGCCAGCCCGAGCGGCAGCATCTTGAGCACCGGTGGCCACCAGAGTCCGGCACCAACACCAAGTGCCACCTTACCACGCCCACACCGCCAGATCGACATAAACCCGGCGGAGTTTGCCAAGTACAAGCTGGATAAGCCCATCGTGGATATTGGAGGGATCTCCGGCATGTTGTGGATTCATTTGCTAGCAGGTCGCGGCCTTAGAACAGCTCCAGAGGGAGCAGCAGGCGCGGCGCCACAGGGCCAAACCAGAGATCTTTACTGCGTAATCGAGTGCGATCGCGTGCACAAAGCACGGACAGTGGTGCGATCGGGTGACCTGCAGTTCGACTGGGACGAGTCGTTTGAGCTTGACTTGGTTGGCAACAAACAGTTAGATGTACTAGTCTACTCGTGGGATCCGCAGCACAGACACAAGCTGTGCTACCGAGGCGCAATTTCGTTGTCGTCAATCCTCCGTCAGTCTCCACTTCATCAGCTGGCCTTAAAGGTTGAACCAAGGGGGACGATATACATTCGCATGCGGCACACGGATCCACTGGCTCTTTACAAGAGGAGGGGCCTTCCGAGCCTGAGAGCAGGTTACCCTACGCTCTTCGGCGCTGATTTGGAAACGGTGGTAAATCGGGAGTCCAAAAATGCTCCCGGAAGTGCACCCGTTCCCATCGTATTGAGGCGCTGTGTGGAGGAGGTGGAGCGCCGTGGTCTTGATATAATCGGGTTGTACCGACTGTGTGGCTCGGCTACCAAGAAGCGTTTGCTACGCGAGGCCTTCGAGCGCAATAGCCGTGCAGTGGAATTGACCCCGGAACATGTTCCTGACATCAACGTCATCACCGGCGTCCTCAAGGATTACCTCAGGGAACTGCCCGAGCCGCTGTTCACGCGCTGTCTTTTCCAGATGACGGTCGATGCCTTAGGTAAGCACCTTCAATTTCAAGACGATTTTTTCAAACACCAATTGTACTGTTTCCATCCAAAATCAGCTGTCTGCCTACCAGATGACCCGGAGGGCAATGCGAAACTGATGCTTAGCATACTCGACTGCCTGCCGCGGGCAAACAGGGTAAGATCGGCCGTTTCTTAACTTAAAAATTACATACATGAACTGTAATTTGTACTCCAATTGCGTAACTCTACAGGCCACCCTGGTATTCCTTCTGGATCACCTCTCGCTGGTCGTTTCAAACTCGGAGCGGAACAAGATGTCCGCCCAGGCGTTGGCCACCGTGATGGGCCCACCGCTGATGCTGCATTCGGCGAGTGCGCAGCCGGGAGCTGACATCGATCACGCTCAGCCGATCGCGGTGCTTAAGTATCTGCTGCAGATCTGGCCGCAGCCGCAGGCGCAGCATCAGCAGATGGCGCAGCACATGGGCGGCGCTGCGGGGGCGATGATGGGCGGCTTGGTCACCGCCGGGAGCATGAGCAATATGGCGGGTGTTGCTTCAGGTAACGTACTCCCAGCGTCCGATTTCCCACCCAGAGCTACCAGAAAAAACCAGACCCCAACACACAAGAACACACCCTCCGATTATTGCCACCACACTTGCAAGAGTTTGATTCCTTCTTTCGTTCCTGCTTTGGATGCATCGCTGCATCAGCAGCAGTTCCAAGTCCAAAACCGTGCCACCCACTCGCTCTTCAATATAAAGTGCGTCACAAAACCGTTCTTACTGTTAGCTGTTATGCAACCCACTCACAGACACAAGTACACACTGTCCCAATCACCCAGACACACCGGTTGCCACTTCCAGTCTTAACTCATATATAATTAAGAACCAAAGCCAGTTACAATTTTGGTTCTGCTTTTGAGTGCCAATAAAGTCGGTGCGGTGCTCACTGTGCATAATTGGAAGAACGTTTAGACTTAATTGATATATTTCAAATATGGAAGCAATCAGGTGGTAACCGCAGACCTCTCTCACCTCACCCCTCAGCCCACAGCCCTCAGCCACTGAAAACACCTCAAAGCGCGTCCACATTAATATTGATTAATACAGAGTCCTATGTAGACAGGTCGGCGCGGCGAGTCAACAGGGCAGCGTGGAAGCAAAGTCAGTGCGTTGCCAGCGGACAGACAGCAACTTCTACTGCAGCAGCAGGCGCAGCTCATGGCGGCGGGCAATCTTCTGCGCTCGTCCACTTCGGTAACCAACATACTCTCCCAAGGCCATCCTCAGCTCTCAGCCACAGCCAACAATCATCTGTATCAATCAGTAGTGGGTCAGTTAGCTCAATCGCATCGAGCCTTGCAACAAGCGGTGCAACAGGTAAACAAACAGAATCCACACAACACAGCAACCAACCACAACACAGCAGCCGAAGGCGCGACCAATGGTTACAACACGTGACATACTCTTCCAGAAACACTTGCATACACACATATCATCCACCATTGACCCACACCGCACTCCTAACATCCATATTTCACTGTGATGGGGCAAAAGAGGGGGCATTTTTGTAATATGTTCTTCCTTCCAAGTCGCTATCAATTTTCAATTTATTATTTGTTCAAAAGAAGATATTTTCGGTGCAGTAACTATACAGAAAACAAGAGAGGAGGCTATACTCAATATTTGGTCAATACCCGAGTATATGTGGCATACCGACTTAATTGACAAATATTAAAATGAACTGAAATTAAAATGTCGAAAGTGTGGGTGGGCCAGCTTTTGGGCGGTTTGTGGGCCTTGTCAAAATATTTATGGCATACCGATAAATTTCAAAAATCTCAAAACATTTTTCAAATGTTGGTTTTACAGTTATTACTGTACGGTTGACGGCTAACTATTTGGAGTTCCTTACAACATTATTTTAAAATACTTCCTTGAGAGACTGACAACGTTCATATGGGACATATCGTTCATACAGTTTTTTTCCAGAAAAAGGTTAAACATGGCAATTGCATTTTTATCATTCATTTAACACTAACCTACCAACACGATCACAGAAACACGAACTCAAAAACATTTTCTTCCTTCTTTTCCTGTTGACCGTTCTGCAAAAGATGATAATTTCAAAAATATTTGTCTAATGAACTATTCAATATGAAGCATTATCTGTTATTAGTTTATTCTTTGCTTTTTACGGAAATAATATACTACAATATATATATATATTATAAAAGTAAAGTCAACAATAATTTGCTGTGATCCTTGATCGATAGACGTTGTAATTGTGATACATAAATGTATACGTACATTCATAATCTATACATCAGTATGAGATAATGATGGTAATGATGTTGATGGTGTAAACGGCGTGCAAAGCATGATTGGCCCACTACTGGTAACAAATAAACATACTCGTAACGACAGTTGTTCCCGTACATATGTATTCCACTCCCATTCAATATGTAAATCATACAGCTTTGTATGCCCACACATACCAAATGAAAGACACATCTTATGAAAGCTTCATTTACCTCGAGTGCCACTGCCATTGTAAAAACTTCATCAATCATACCCAACTTGCGTTTCATTGGAATTGCTTACACACCCGTCCCAGGAATAGATCAGCTCCTCTTGTTGGTTCAAGCCCACAACCCGCATCCCCGACACCTTGTCGCATTATTTTCCCAGAATTGAAAAGCACAGCTTAAATAGAGTAGAACATCTCAAAGTCGGAGGGGAACAGTTCTAGCATTTAATTTTTCTCTGAAGTTCAGTTGAATCCTAATCACACTCCTTTAGTTGAAACGTTCGTTTGTGGCAAAAGTATTGACTTTTTATTATTCTATCACCTTAAATCCACAGCCCAGTAAAACCGCTCTTACTCACCGCACACCGTTTGACTTAAATGCCACTAAAGACACATTTATTTAATTTAAATTACCATATTATTGTCCTTTATTTGAAGTCAATTTCGCATAGTGTTGTTTCTTTGCATGCCTGAAATACAACTCACGCTTTAGCACAAGCCAATCACTTTCCAATGCCCACGTACTCACCCGAATCCCAATAATAACATGTAATTGGTTAACGAATTGGCCGTCACCTGTATGAGAATCGCACCGCGCACGCAGTGAAATTGTATTTTGTCTATGTGCTCGTCTATGTGTCACTCAATTACCCACTTGAAAACAACCATCAACACTACAACACAAAGTCCTGAACTGACTCAAAATTTTAAATTCTTTCTGCACCACCCAAAACCAAGAACTAGCACGTATTGACTCCCTTGAAGCTTCTTCAGCCTTAATTGACTTCCAGCCAACATTTAACCAACTTTGCGGGATTTTCCCTGCTCTCCTTTCTCTTCGTTATTCTCTTGCAGCCCTATCAATTGGGGGGCTCAGCGGGCTCAGCAATTCCCGACCCATCGCCACTGCCACTTCCAGGCACACCCTCCCCCGGCAGTAGCTCTGCATCGACGGGCTCGGGCTCCGGATCGGGTAAAAGTAAGTAACTGAAATGCTCTTACGCCTAAGTCGGAAAAGATTACGTGGCTAATGCGCTTGTAATTTTCTGTAGGCACGGATACCATCAAGCGCGGTGCTTCGCCTGTTTCCGTTAAGCAAGTCAAGATCGTCGACCAGCCATCCAGTCCATATTCCATTGTGATGAAGAAGCCGCCGCTGCAGAAAGATGCGCCCGTAGAAATCACCACACCCACCACGCAGGCGGATGCAGAGTCGACCTTGGGAAGCAAGGAAAGCAATGGAACATCATCTCGAAGGGGAAATGGGGACTTTTATGATACGCATAAGGCGCAGGCCAGGAGTTTGGTGAACGAGGAATCCAGCTACAGCTCCAAGTACACTGCCTTGGAAACTAAGAAGATCGGCCTTGGCAACAGTAGCTACACGCCCAGCAAGGCGAGTGCCAGTGGCCTTTCTGCCGGCGAGGACTACAAGGCGATGCGAAACAAGTCGAGCGCCACATCCAGCTCAAGCTCATCGCAGGCAACCGTTTTGAGTGCTGGCTCTACGGCCACATCAGCCCCGACCACTTCTTCGGACGATTCGGATGATCTGGTCTCCTACAAGTCATCGGCGTCCACAAATGCCTTGCTGGCCCAATCGCAAGCCATGACCACCAGTCAGCTGATGTCCAAGTATCTCAAGCGGGAGCCACGGGTACAGTTTACGCCGATCAAGTCACCGGAATCGCCCTCGCCACCGGGTAGCGGTGATGGTCTGCCCAAGGGTACTTACCAACTGGTTACGCCTAACTCGGGACCGTCGAGCAAACCGGGTGCTACGACTGGAGCTATAAGCAAGTACACCACCGGCTCAGTGGATTCATCTATTAGTGCGAACAGCCAGAAGTTGTCATCGCCCTCTCGATTGTGCAACAGCAAGGATAGCAGCAGCAGGACTGGAACGGGCAGTAGTGCGACAGCCGGAACCTCTTTGGTTTCCACCGGTCGGCGTTTGTTTGACAGCCTCGCCTCTTCATCATCCTCGGAAACGGAGACGAAGACGTACGTAGGTGGCACCACTGCGGCCAGTGGGGCCATCACCATCACCACCACCACGTACACCAACGACACCAAGAACTCCGGCAGCAGTAGCAGTAAGTCGGGAATAGGAGGGGGGTCTGGAACTGGGTTGGGAGCGGTTTCGGGAGCAAGCTCCGAGACTCGAAGCTTCGGCAGTACGCTATTCGGCAGTAGTGGCTTAGGTAATGGCAATGGCAGTAGCCACAATCACTCTAACGCCAGTCCAAGTCCCTTCACCACCACCAACGGCAACGGTAACCACAATACCATGCATCTGTATGGCACCTTGCCCAAGAACGGAACCTCCACGGGGGCAGCTCTGTTTGGCGGGTCGGCCAACAGTTCCTCGTACCACTCTTCCGCGAGTGGAAGTGGAGCCGGAACCGCCAGCAGTAGTGGGGTCAGCTCCATGACGGGCTCCACAAATAGCTACGACTTCTACACGAGCACAAGCTCCAGTGTGAGCAGTTCGCGGCCCTTCGCCAACGGTGGCAACAACTATCACACACTGGGAACCTACAGGGCTCAGTACGCCGCCACTAATCCCTTCCTGGACGCCTTCGACGAAAAGCCGGGCAGCAACGGGGGTAGTACCCACGGGGAGGAGAAGCTAGACAAGGGCGCGGACAAGGGCCACCACAGAGCGGCCGTAATGGCCTTTCAGTCGTCAGGAGACTCGAAGAACGGTAGCGATGAGTACGATGACATCAAGTGAGGTAGGAAAAGGGCTATAAATGCGGTTAGGAGAAAAGAATATAGATACAACTACGATTATACGCGTGCGACTGGTGAGAGTAAAGAGATCTAAAAGCTCGTCTTCCTGGTTTAACTTTCCTTAGTTCATCAAATACTTTCGGGCAACGAAAACGATCAAGAGTTAAATGCGTGCTCTGGTGTAAACTTTTTATTTCCTACGAATTTGATCGGAAGGCATCAAAACATTCATTCCCTTTCTCCATTGCGTTGCGCGCGTATAATCGTAGTTACGTAACAAAAACCAATGCCACACAATGCTGAAAGTGTTCTTTTGAAGTATTTACAGTTTACAAATTTACAAAGTACGAACGATAGTTGCATATAAACCCCTATGAGAACCCTCTAACTTTAGAGTCTAAAGCAAGCATAATCTGCATACATAAAATTAAATAGTCGCCGAGCTCTGTGTATGTGTTTATAAATACTTGTGAAAGCTTATCCCTGGTAGCGTTTAAAGGGTCGAAGCGCTTGACCGTGGTTTGCCGTTTAGCTAACATAAATCCATAAATCCGAATTCAATAACATTTACGAACAGTATTTTTTAATGAACTATAACATAAATTAAAGTCAACAGCGTATACAATAAATTACATTTAAAAATACGAATAGAAGAACTTACCCAAAAGGTTGAACACGCATTTAATTTTTAAAAATAATCCTATATCGACTTACACCCCTCTAGTAGACACGATTCGTTACTGATATATTTTTGCATACTCCCTTTTCGCAGTGGAAACTGCATATAAGGAAAGCTCTTATAATCTACCCACACAATATCTTTTGTGAGCGTTTCTATGTGACCAACTCTCTTATCTGGAAAAGCAATGTACACGACTATGACAACCTGTCTAATTAACTACTCGACGACTTTTGGAGCAACACATTTGCCTACAATGTTTCCCAATGCCTCTTTTATAAAACCTAAGTGTGCATATGTGATCAAGTAACGATCGAACTCCCGATTAGGATTTCACATAGCAGACACCACTCGCAAACCGCAAACTGACATGCAAAATACAAATACATGAATTTATTAACGAATCAATGTGCTTAGTTTTTGTATGAAACAAAGTCTGATATATACACTAATATACAACGGTACAGTATAATATTTCTAAACATTTAATCATAATTATACAAGCGATGGAAAAAATATGTAATGTTAATATATATTACTAAATAGCAAGTTAAGAACGCTTTGCGATTAAGAAGTTTACAGCAGGTATGTTTTCAAAGCTTTTTAAAACGTATTAACGACCAACTGTGCTTAACCCCAATTGTATAGGAAATTACACTTATAACGATCTCAATTTTATAAAAACTTAAAATTCATAATACTTTCGAATACATATGTTGCGGAACTGTAAATACCCAAAAAGGAATTTACCGATCTCGTAGTCAAGTAATCAGTAAATGAGGCTGGTTATAGTCATAGGCTTTGGCGAACATCCTACACCCCTTATTATTTAAATAGAGTTAGACAAGATCATTTTAAGAAACATACGAGACAAAAATAGGAAAAACTAAAATACCAAATAAGCACTGAGGTACAGAAAGATTTATGTTAGCTAACAAAAATGAAAAATCATTCGTCTTCATGCAAGTACAACTTTCTCCAGCGACTCAATAAAATCAATTAAAGTAAAAAGCCTCACTTATTACATTACAGTTCATTCAGTCATTTCCATAACTAATCGATATTATATAACCCAAAACTATAATCAATGTTGTGGATTATTTGATTTGAACAATTAGTACGGCTTATAGAGATCGATTGGGAACCCCAAACACAATAAGATTTTAAATAGTAAAATATTCGGTTAATTGTTGCCAGATTTATTTTATAAGAATGGATAGCATTTAAAGTGTTAAACATGATTACCAAACCAAAGAGTTTAAAACCACAATATAGGCAACCATATAGTTGAGCAAATTGATTTTTATATAGTGAATTGTTAATTATTGCATATAGCACGTAGAATTTTTAACAAAAGTCAAAGTTCAGGCGGATGAGTTATTTTGAGGTGGTCGCGACTCGCTTGCCGCCATCACTGCCCAACTTTATTGATTTTACGATTTTAACTTCATACATAACCAAGGAACATCAATGTTACTAAAGCTGTCGCCTTCGTTTTAAACACAAGTAAGACCCTAGTACCCCCATTAGCTCTGCAATCCGGTTTTTAATTGGTTTATCCCGAAAGCTTTAATCGTTGAACGACCAGAATTACGCGGTTACAAATTCTATAAATATTCCCTATATACCATATAATAGTAGCGGAGTTGGTGGAAGATGTCATGGCAACACTTCGGTTTATTTGCGAGTTGTTGTGGCTTCATAGTCGTAGTTAGTTAGCTCTAGATGTAAAACACGGCGGAGATTCGAGCGTTGTCAGTTGGTGGTGGAAGAAGGAGGTGGAGGCGGAGGTGGAGGTGGAGGTGGAGGTGGAGGTGGAGGTGGAGGTGGAGGTGGAGGTGGAGGTGGAGGTGGAGGTGGAGGTGGAGGCGGAGGTGGAGGCGGCGACTGCAGTGGCATCGGTTTGTGGTTTGCCGCTTGGAGCTGCTTTTCTGAGCCCGATCTTGTTCGATATCTATTTGTACTTGTACTTAGAACTCGTAAGCATACACTATGGAATATATATCACTGTGTCATATCGTACATTTAAAGCAAATAACGAAAACAGATTGGAGCTGGAAGCAGGAGAGCAGAAGAGCAGAAGAGGAAATTGTTAACGCAAAGTATTCATGTATCGAAGTATGTATACAACCCTAAATTAATAGCAGTCGGCATCAACTACATAATATAATAGATGAATACCAAACAAAACAAAAACTCGATTGGCGGGAAACCAAGTACTACAAATTGTACATGCATTTAACCTAGAATAGCTACAACTAACTAAACACTAATTATCTGATACTGAAAACCAATCCAACTTTTAGCTGGCAAACGAAAATGGCAAATGAATTGATAAATATGCTAACACATTAGACATTAAATTAGTTAACAGTGAATTAACAGAAACGAACTAATTTATTAAAATGTATTGCACAATATCGAACACTTAACATATTAGAGAAAGTAACTAAGCCTACTACAGGTAATATGCATACGAATAGAATCGGACACATAGGCAAAGGTGGCAGGATGCAGATTCAGATTATGTTCAAGCCTAATCTCCAAGTGTAATCGACCGATTCCACGGCGTTACTTTCGGGTAGTGAGATGGTGATCTGTTGTACTACGATTTGGATAATTTGGATAATGCATACGCCTAGTTATGTGTAAAGAATAAGTGTGTTTATGTATGCATTAAATGTGCCTATACTTTTGTTTAATTTAAAGACAAAAACCCTTCCGCCGCACCCTTGTATACTTTATTTTCGCCCACTTTGAGAACCCTTTGACGCTTTATGGGGATTTTTATTATGGTTTATCGAGCGGTTTGTAAGGAGTGCAATTAAGGAAAAGATTTCTTCAGTCGAACTTAATAAGTAAATGGAGACCAAATGCTCAGGGCTTTAGCAAGTTATAGTAGGCGTAATATACAAAAAAAAAGAAATCAAGGGGAGACCCACCTAAAAACTAAGTGCAACACATCATGAGCATACTCCATCAAACGTTAAGGCGATGCATTTTAGTTGAATCTTTAGATCTGTCATCACCAGCATAAGCTGCAGGTAAAACTCAACAATAGCAACAGCAGCCACAACAAGAACAATCCAACAAACAAATTTACAAAATCCACGCAATCAATTTGTTGAAAAGACTGAAAACCATATAAAACAAAAGGAAGACAAAACCAAAGTGAACCAAGAACATACAACTCCCTTTGCATAGAGATCGACATGAAACCAAAAATATTCATACACTAGTATTTTGAAGAAGATCCCCAGTATAAAAAGTCTCAGAGTTTTCCTTGTTTATGCGGTCAATTGAAATGTTTTGGTGTATTATTTTTCCAGCGCGTCATTGAACTTTATCGAAGTAACTTAACAAATCTTAAAGTAATAGTAAAATATTAGCAAAAACAATACAAATATTACCACCAGCAGTTTGCTACCTACTTAATATGCAAGTTTAATATAAAAATTTAATAAGAAATAGTCTAACAAATAGTTCAAAACTTTACGAAATGAGAAAAGTTTTCATCATGTAGAGAATAAAACCATGCCGGATAGATCTATAGCAAAAGTATCACACTCCTCCCAGGTCGTTGTGCAAAATTATAACTAATTATATTTAATACATCAAACCGTTTTTAAAACCCACCATTAAAGGAAGCATAAAAAACCAATGTTAAAACAAATCGAAATCCTATTAATTTTTTCGAGTCTTTCTTCCTTATTTGGACCTCTTATCAATGGCATATGAACAAAACACAAACAATTAAGCGTAATGAACAAACATATGTATATATCTCAATATCTTATTGCGGATCTCCATACCTTCAACGCAGACGCACGAAGTTAATCCACGTCGGAGCAAGACCTGATCCAGCCAACTGACAGGATCGCGAACAGCGAGGATTCGTTAGAACGGATAATACTCTGATTTACCACTGCCACAAAGAAGCAAACAGTAAATTGTAACGTTAAAATAGATATAAAACAGCCGGTACATTATATAGATACTTTGCTATTGCGTAAATGAAATAATAAAAAGTATCTTATTTGACAAAGAGATGGCGGAAGTTCATTGCATAACGCAAAGGCGGACAGGCATGCAGCGTCTGCGCGTATGTGATTGCCTAAAAAGCAAGTAAACTTAACATTATAATTTATTACAAACAAATAACAATAATAATTATGCATAACTATGGAAAGCAAAACGAAATGCAAACTAATACATAAATCGTTCCCTGCGTACGAATAAAGCGATGTTAAATTATTTAATGAAAATATATATACATATAAATAAAATACTTGTTGAATTATTTAAGCTTTATTTGCGGAACTTATTTTCAGCTAGAAACCTACGAAGACTGCAGGCAAACTGATGTCTGTTCGCAAGAGGTTTGATCGCTGGCAACTTTTTTCTGGGTCAAATTTTTCGTTTTATGCTACTACGAACCAGCCAGCGTAAAAAAACATGGGGAACATCATAATAAAAAACAAGATAGAATGCTATAGTCGAGTTCCCCGACTATCAGATACCCGTTACTCAGCTAGTGAGAAATTTCAACATTTTCTGGAATATCGGTAGAAATTTGAGTTATGGAGTATAGAAATTCAGCCACTTTTTAATATTTTTGCGCCAGAAACATTTGGAGGTATACCACTTCAAAATCCGATTAAGATAAGTTGAGTTATGGAGTATAGAACTTCAGCCTTGGGACACTTTAATTTCTTTGAATTTCTACTCATAATACATATTATTAAATATATTAAAAAATATTAAATTTTAAAAATTTTCTAAATTTGAATGCAGTTTTTTAGAGAATTGCTCCAGAAACATTTAGAGGTATGCCACACCAAAATCCGATTAAGATAAGTTGAGTTATGGAGTTCAGAACTTTAGCCTTGGGACACTTTTGAATTTGTACATCATAACATCAGGAAAATGACAAAAATATTGAAAAAAAATAAATTTCCAAATTTGAATGCAGATTTTTAGAGAATTGCTCCAGAAACATTTAGAGGTATGCCACTTTAAAATCCGATTAATATAAGTTGAGTTATGGAGTTCAGAACTTTAGCCTTGGGACACTTTTGAATTTGTACAATATCATAACATCAGGAAAATGACAAAAATATTGAAAAAAAAATAAATTTCCAAATTTGAATGCAGATTTTTAGAGAATTGCTCCAGAAACATTTAGAGGTATGCCACTCCAAAATCCGATTAAGATAAGTTGAGTTATGGAGTTCAGAACTTTAGCCTTGGGACACTTTTGAATTTGTACAACATCATAACATCAGGAAAATGACAAAAATATTGAAAAAAAATAAATTTCCAAATTTGAATGCAGATTTTTAGAGAATTGCTCCAGAAACATTTAGAGGTATGCCACTTTAAAATCCGATTAATATAAGTTGAGTTATGGACTTTAGAACTTCAGCCTTGGGACACTTTTGAATTTGTACAATATCATAACATCAGGAAAATGACAAAAATATTGAAAAAAAATAAATTTCCAAATTTGAATGCAGATTTTTAGAGAATTGCTCCAGAAACATTTAGAGGTATGCCACTTTAAAATCCGATTAATATAAGTTGAGTTATGGAGTTCAGAACTTTAGCCTTGGGACACTTTTGAATTTGTACAATATCATAACATCAGGAAAATGACAAAAATATTGAAAAAAAATAAATTTCCAAATTTGAATGCAGATTTTTAGAGAATTGCTCCAGAAACATTTAGAGGTATGCCACTTTAAAATCCGATTAAGATAAGTTGAGTTATGGAGTTCAGAACTTTAGCCTTGGGACACTTTTGAATTTGTACAACATCATAACATCAGGAAAATGACAAAAATATTGAAAAAAAATAAATTTCCAAATTTGAATGCAGATTTTTAGAGAATTGCTCCAGAAACATTTAGAGGTATGCCACTTTAAAATCCGATTAATATAAGTTGAGTTATGGACTTTAGAACTTCAGCCTTGGGACACTTTTGAATTTGTACAATATCATAACATCAGGAAAATGACAAAAATATTGAAAAAAAATAAATTTCCAAATTTGAATGCAGATTTTTAGAGAATTGCTCCAGAAACATTTAGAGGTATGCCACTTTAAAATCCGATTAATATAAGTTGAGTTATGGAGTTCAGAACTTTAGCCTTGGGACACTTTTGAATTTGTACAATATCATAACATCAGGAAAATGACAAAAATATTGAAAAAAAATAAATTTCCAAATTTGAATGCAGATTTTTAGAGAATTGCTCCAGAAACATTTAGAGGTATGCCACTTTAAAATCCGATTAATATAAGTTGAGTTATGGACTTTAGAACTTCAGCCTTGGGACACTTTTGAATTTGTACAATATCATAACATCAGGAAAATGACAAAAATATTGAAAAAAAATAAATTTCCAAATTTGAATGCAGATTTTTAGAGAATTGCTCCAGAAACATTTAGAGGTATGCCACTTTAAAATCCGATTAATATAAGTTGAGTTATGGAGTTCAGAACTTTAGCCTTGGGACACTTTTGAATTTGTACAATATCATAACATCAGGAAAATGACAAAAATATTGAAAAAAAATAAATGTCCAAATTTGAATGCACATTTTTAGAGAATTGCTCCAGAAACATTTAGAGGTATGCCACTTTAAAATCCGATTAATATAAGTTGAGTTATGGAGTTCAGAACTTTAGCCTTGGGACACTTTTGAATTTGTACAATATCATAACATCAGGAAAATGACAAAAATATTGAAAAAAAATAAATTTCCAAA